CCCCCGCCGCCGCGACGGATCCTCGCGAGCTCACGAAGGCGGAGAAGACCGCGGCGGGGCGTTCGGTGAAGGCGCTGTTAGACGCCGGTCGCGCGGCGTGGCTCCGCGAGAGAGGCTTTCAGAACGCGACCGTCGCGACGTACTGCGACGCGAGCGTGTCTCCCGAGAACCGACTGTTGCTCGCGTCGCGTCGATGAGAAACAGCGGCGTCGCAGACGTCATGATATCATCACCGGGGTAGAGCGCGCGCGTAGCAGCATACTTTAGAATAGACGCGGTACTGCAGTTATTATGATAGCTTATCTATCTCCACGATGCCGCAGACGCGGTGAGCTATATCGCGACGTTCCGTGCGCCGCGATGTCACAGAGCCTTCACGCCGCGTCGTCGTCTCCGTCGCCCGAACCGCGGTCCAAATGAATGATCTTCTTCACCACGAACAGATGGTCGCCTCTCTCCTCGCTCCCTGGCTTGACCGGCGCGCCTCTTCCCTTGATCCGCAACGCCTGCCCAACCTCCACGTCCGCGCGCACTTTCAAGGTGCCGTGTTCCCCCTCCACCGTCCTGACGCGCGCGCTCGTGTCCTCGCCGCGCTTCTCGAAGCGAACGACCAGATCGCTGATCAAGTTGGCGCCGTCGCGTCGAATGACCGCGCCCTCGCTCATGTCGTCAGCCGCGATCTTGACGTACAAGTCCCCCGGCGGCGTCCCGCCGCCGCCCATCTCTTTGAGCCGCAGCGACGCGCCGTCGCATACGCCGGGCGGCACGGTCACGGTCACGTCCGTCGTCTCCGACGTCTTCCCGCTGGCGTCGCAACGAGGGCAGTCGATGAACGTCTGAGATACTCTGCCGTCGCCGTCGCACTCGGGGCAGACGATCGTCCTCGAGTACGTCAGCGGCTTCTTCGCGCCCGAGACCGCCTCCTCGAGGGTTATGCGAGGCAGGCACGCGTAAGTGTCCGCGCCGGGCTCGCCGCCGAACCGCCTCTTCATGGCATCCTTCGCGCCGACGACTTCCTTCTGCCAGAAGCCCTTCGCCTTGTCCTTGAGGTCGGCCGCGCGCTTCGATCCGTCGTCGAACGGATTCGAGATCGCGGACGGCGCCGTCGCGACGCGTCGGCGACGACGCGATCGGGGGGCGCGGCGCGTCAGCGCGACGTGCGGCGAGCGGAGCGACGACGACGCGTGCATCGCGCGAGATGGTGTGCGAGTCGTCGAAACGTCGGATCGGATTTCGGATATCGCCATCATCGAGGACAACCGGCGCCGCTCGCCGCTCTATCGCCGCCCTCGAGGTCTCGACGGAGGACCGCCGCGGTCCCTCCCGCCGCCGCCGCCGCGACGATCGTCGTCGCGGTGCGCGCCCCCGCCGCCGCCGCGGTTCCCGCGCCCGCCGCCGCCGCCGCCCGGCTCCCTCCCCGAGTCCCAATCCGGCCGTCCGCGCGTCCCGCCGTCGCCCTTCCTGGCGCGCTTGTTCGAGTCATTCGCTCCCTTCCCGTCCGCCTCGTCGTCCCTCCGGCGCTTCTGGTCGCGCTCGCGCGTCTCCTTCGCGCTCTTCGCCTCCGCTCGCAGACGCTCCTCCTTCTCCTTCTCGGACTCTCTCCCGCCGCCGCCGCGACCGCCTCCGCCGCCGCGACCGCCGCCGCCGCCGCCGCCGCCGCCCGCGTCTTTGGCGGACTTTTGGTCGTCTTTCCCCTTGGCGCCTCCCTTGCCGTCGTCCTTGCCCCCGTCCGCGTCCCTCGCGCCGCGGGCGCGCTTCTTCGAGCCGCCGCCGCCGCCGTCCGCGTCGGCGGCGGCGTCCTTCGTGGGGGTAAACTCCGGCGCCTCCGCGGAGAGTTTGCCGGCGTCGGCTCTTCCTCTCTTCTTCGCCGCCGCCCCCGCGCCCGCGCCCGCAGCCGCGCCGCTGCCCTTCTCCCCGCCGCCCCCCTCGGGCTTGATCGCGCCCTCCTCGTCGCCACCGCCGCCCTTCGAGGTCGCGGTCGCGGCCGCGTCCTTCTCCTGCTGCTTCGGGTCCGGCGGGAGGTACGGATTGAACGCGTTGTCCGGCCGCCACGCCTTGCGCTCCATCTGAAGCATCGCGAGGTACCGCGCGGCGATCGTCTTGAGATCCCCGCGCTCGTCGCTCTCTTTGATCTTCTCCACTCTCCGCAGCGTGTGCCCGCCGATGCGAGTGATCGCGGGGAACACCTTGACGATCTTCGTCAACACCATCAACGCGTTTCGAATCTCCATGTAGTCGCTGCCCTCCAGGCAGTGCACGAAACACTTCGCGAGCCGAAGGTGCCACTTGTACACGAGCTTCACGAACTCCTCGTACGTCACCCGCTTCGCGTTCGTTCCCCCGGACGGTTCCTTGAACGTCGTCTTGAACCCGTTCTTGCTCGCGCACTCGCGCTCGTACGCGGTCTCGTCCGCTTTCCACCGCGCGAGCTGAGTCAGCGTCTCGTTCAAAAACTTCCCGAGCCTCCCGGCTTCGTACTCGGTGCGCGAAAAGATGAGCTGCGTCAGGTCCTTCAGCGCGGTGTTGTAGTACTGCACCGTGCTGAAGTACGGCGTGTCGAGCGCGTGGAGGCGTTCGGCGAAGCGCGCGCAGTAGATGGCGTCCGCTGGGGAGAAGACGCACCGCGGAAGCACGCACCGCTGCAAGATCACAGACACCGTGGACTTGATATCCGGCAAGTCCACGAGGAAAGCGTCTTTTTCGATCATGAGCGACTTGGTCTTCTTGCTCACCGCGCGCTCCTGCGCGTCCAGCTCCTTCTGCAGCGTGTCCACGAGCGTCTGCAGACGGTCTTTCTCCTTGCGCCGTTTCGCGAGATCGGAAGACGAAACGTCGCGCGTCGGGAGGCCCTCGAGCACCGTCAGCGACGCGCGGCACTTTTCAATCTCCGCGTCGTACCGCGCCCTGGGCACGTGCAAGTCGTACGCGGTGTTCGCCCAGAAGCACAAGTACAACTCCGGGGATATCGCCTGCCACGTCACCTCCGGGAGCATCCCTCGGACGTCCGCTAACAGTTCGCCCCACGTCGTCTTCGCGCCGCCGATGTCGAGCGCGATCGCGGCGTTGCAAACGTCGACGGGCTTATCCTTGGACGGCGCGGGGCGCGGCTTCAGGTGTCTCAACACCGGCCGGAAGATGTGAAACGCCGCGCCGGGCTCGATGCCGTAGTCGTGCACGAGCTCCTTCAGCGACGGGATCATCTTCGCGTACTTCTCGTCGTCGTACGCCTGCGCGAGAAAGTCGCAGTAGTGAAAGAACGTCTCCTGGCACCCGTCGTACAGCTGAGAGATGAGCTTCAGGTGCTTCGACGGCGTGTTGAACACGATGTTCTGCCGGCACTGCGCGATGAGAATCAGCAGCGGCACCGTGAGCGAGTCCCCGCCCTTCGCGCCCCTCTGCAGCGCGTCTCTCAGCCGCGCGACGCCCTTGGCTCGCACCTTGGGCGCCATCGCGCTGTTGAAATTGATCGCCTCGGACTTGAGCGTCTCGCCGCCGGACATGGCGGCGACTTGCGCGTCGGACATGTCCTCGAGCGGTTCGTTCCCCGTCATGCGCGTGATGAGCTCCTTCAGGACGAGCAAATCGAGGCTCTGGTTGTCCTTGAGCGTGTTCACGAGGTATTGCAACAGCGCGGAGAGCTCGACGTTGCCGTACTTCTTCGCGAGGTGCCCGCAGAACGTCGCGAGCGCGCTGAGCCACAGCGACACGTTCTGGCCGTCGTCCTTCAGCTTCTCTCGCCCCTCCGCGAGCTTCTCGATGACGACGAACGTCAACACGTCGTACCCCATCGCCGTGAGGTACTTGAACGCGTCGCACACGGGCGAGATCATGTTCGTGTACGCCTCGATCTGACGCACGATCGCGTTCATCACCGCGAGCGGGTTCGCGTGCGCCACCTTCCCGAGCTTCCGGCCGAATTCCTTCACGTTGTCTTTGGACAGACGACGCATCACCTTGAGGGTATCGCTCTCCGCCACCGCCTTGGCCGCCGCGAACGCGGGCTTCACCTCCGCGCCCGTCTCCGCGTCCGAAGAAAACACCGCCTTCCACTCCGAGTACAACCGAAACCGCGTCGTGACCGGGAGCGACGCCAGCGTCGCCCACACCTCGTTCACCGCGCCGGGGTTCGAAGCCGTCAGCCCGAGCGCGGGGAGGACGCACGCGCCCACCGCGTCTTCGCCTCTCCGCGCCGACGCGTCGTCGCCGCGCTTCCGCGCCCACGCGATGTGCTGCTTCAGGCACCGCGCGATTCTCGTGAACAGAATCACGTCGTGGTGGACGTGCGGGCCGAGGAGCGCGATAATCTCGAACGCGGCGTCCGGAAGCGGGAAGCCCTCCGCGGACGGCGGCTTTCTTCCGTCGACGTCGCCGCGGCCCTCGAGCGCGGCGGCGCATCCCGCGGGAGCCGCGCGCGCGTGCGCCTCCTTCAGCGCGTCCCTCGCGGCGACGCACAGCGCGTCGCGCACCTCCGCGTCCTCCGCGGGGTCTAACCCGAGCTCGGCGAGGCGCTCGAGGAGCGACGCGGCGGCGCGTAAATCGCCGATCGCGAGGAAGCCGCGCAACAGACCGAGCTTCTGGTTCGTCTCGTCCGGGACCGGCGTCGCCGCGACGACGTACGGGTCCGGACCGCGCGCCGCGCCGTCGTCCGCGCCGCCGCGAAGGTTCACGACGCCAATCTTCTTCGCGGCGGCGAGTCGCCGGCTCACCTCCGCCGCGTGTTTCTCCGCGGCGACGTCGTCCGCGGGGTGCAAGTGTGCGTAGAGGTCGTCCATCTCGACCAGGTTCTTGCGCACGAGCGTCGCCGCGAGGACGTATAACGACTTCGGCGTGGCCGTCACTGTTACCGTCGTCGGCGTTGTTTTCAGCGACTCGGACGTCGCGGGCGCCTTGTCCTTGTCCTTGTTCGCGTTGAATGTCTCTTTGTTCGTGCCGTCCTTCTCTTCGCGGGCGGCGTCGTCGTCGCCGCCCTCCGCGCGCGCGGCGCCGTCCGAGAGCACACTGGTCCCCATACGACCGCGTTCGCGTTGTGAACGCCGATCCTTAAGGACTCCGGCCGTGTCCTCGCCGGCTTCTCCGTCCTCCTTCTCCGCGAGCGCCGCCGCCGCCGCCTTGGCGTGGCACTGAAACTTAAACCCGAGCACCTGCGCGAAGTTCTCCGTTCGGAACAGCCGCAGCAGCTCCGCGAACCCGTCGTTCGCGGGCCAGCGCTCGTACGCTTCGAACACCAGGTCCAACACGCGGTTCGGGTCCAAGTCGAAGTAGCCTATAAGCGACTGCGTCGATCGAATCGAATCGCGCGATTGAAAGGCGTCAGAAGCGGAGTTGAAAGGCGCCGAGGGCGGGTATTGAAAGCAGCAAGGGGTGGGCGGAGAGATGCGACCGCCGGGAAGTAAAGTCCTTAAGGATCGGCGTTCACCGCGCCGACGCGGTCGTACGGGAACCGGCGTGATGAGATGGAACGCGCCTGCGTCGATCGAATCGCGCCGGCGACGGCGTCGTCGTCCCCGGACCCGCGCTCGCCGAACGCCGCGAGCGCGACGACGAGCTTCGAGTACCCCTCGCTCTCTTCGCGAAGCAGGTTGAACTTGTTCTGCGTGTACACGAGCCGCGTGTTGATCCGAACTTCTTTCTTCTTCCATCCCACCGCGGACGGGATGAGCCCGCACTCCTCCAGAAACTCGCCCTCGCATCGCTCGATGAGCAGCCCCGGCGCGCACAGCGCGTCGTCGCCATCGCACAGCGCCTTCGCGAGGTCCACGACCTTTGCCCTACGCTCCGGCTGCATCTCCACCTCGCACGACACGAGCCAGAGGACGTCCGCGGTCGTGGACGCCGCGAGCGACGGCCCGTCCGAGCCGTCGGACGCGTCGCCCGGGAGCGCGACGCGCACCGCGCGGTCCAGGTGCGACGCGTCGAGCTCGTCGCCGAGGAACGCCCACGCGAGCTCGAGGACGTACCGACGCTGGTCCGCGGGCGCGATCTTGGGGTCCTGATGCGGGGATGGTGATGAGGTCGGGGGGATGGGGGGGGCGGTGAGATCGGTGATCGACGACGACGACGACGACGACGACGACGACGACGACGACGACGACGACGACGACGACGACGACGACGAAGTCCTTAAGGAACGGCGTTCACCACGCGAACGCGGTCGTATGGGAACCAGTCACGAGCGGAGAGAGGATCCGATCGATCGATCGATCGATCGCGCGGGGCGCGGCGAACGGCGCGCACCTTCCCGCTCTTGAGCATGGCGACGACGTCCCCGGTCACGAGCCGCCGCTCGATGCCGGGGTTCGTCATGATGCCGACCTCCCGTGCGCGCGCGTCCCGTCCCGCGCGTCTCTCCAGTGGCGCAGACGGCAGCGCGCCGTCCATCGCGCTGCCGCGCGTGCCACCGACCTCGCGACCGAACTTTTTACGCCAGTAGTGAAAGGTCGTGGCGGTCGTCTTTCAAAACGCGCTTCCCCGCCTCGGCGGCGAACACTTCGCTCGCTCGCGCACACGACGATGGCGAACCGCGTCGGTGCCGCTCGGCGCCTCGCGACCCTTCTGAACGCGTCCTCGTCGCGGGTGCGTCGACTCGCCGTCGATCGACCCCGCCCGCGTCGCGATCGCCGCCGCCCTCCGAACCCCGCCGATGCGAGCAAATATCTCTCGCGCGCTCGCCGTCTGATCGCTAACATCGGACGCCCCCGCCCCGCGCCCCCATCGCGCGCCTTTCTTCTCTCAGACGCGCGCGATCGCGCGCCCGATTCACGTCGCCGCGCGCGCGGCGACATGGCGCGCGTCCTCCCCCGCGCAGCAGCGCGCGACCGCGCCCGCGCTCGCGCTCGCGGCGAACGCGTCCATCATCGCGCGACCGTTCGTCGTTTCTGAGATCACGAGCCAGACGATGCATCACGCCTCTCGGGGGTTCGCGACGAGCGCGTTCTCGCTCGCGCCGTCCACCGTGGAGGTCCCGCAGATGGGCGACTCCATCACGGAGGGCTCCATCGCCGCGGTGCTCAAGGCCCCCGGGGACGCCGTCGCCGTGGACGAGGTCGTCGCGCAGATCGAGACGGACAAGGTGACGATCGACGTGCGATCGCCCGTCGCGGGGACGATGACGAAGGTGCTCGTGAGCGAGGGCGACACGGTGAACGTCGGGCAGGCGGTCGCGGAGATCGAGGAGGGCGCGGCCGCGCAGGTCGCGGCGGCGTCGGCGGCGTCCGCGTCCGCTCCCGCCGCCGAAACCGAAACGCCCGCGTCGAAGAGCGCGGCTTCGAAGCCCGTGGCGATCGAGGTGCCGCAGATGGGCGACTCCATCACCGAGGGCGCGGTGGCGGCGCTGGTCAAGGCGCCGGGCGAGAGCGCGGAGACGGACGAGGTCATCGCGCAGATAGAGACGGATAAGGTGACGATCGACGTGAAGGCGCCGAGCTCTGGGACGGTGCGAGAGTACAGCGTCGCGGAGGGGGACACCGTGACGGTCGGGCAGAAGATCGCGACGTTCGTTCCGGGCGCGGCGGCGGCGAAGAAGCCGAAAGCGGTTTCCGCGGCGCCGGCGACGGCGGCAGCCGCGGCCAAACCCGCGGCCAAACCCGCGCCCGCGCCGCCCGCCGCTTCCGCCGCGCCCCCCGCGCCGCCGAAACCACCTCCGACCGGCGGCGACCGCACGGAGACGCGCGTGAAGATGACGCGCCTGCGTTTGCGCGTCAGGCGCGTCCTTCTCACACTGGTCCCCATACGACCGCGTTCGCGTGGTGAACGCCGATCCTTAAGGACTTTCGCCGGCGTGTCTCTCCGCCCACCTCTCGCGTTCAATCCCCATCCTCGACGCCTTTCAACGCCAACTGACGCCTTTCAACTCCACCCCGACATCGCTTCGTATGGAACGGTCCTCAGCGAACGCCTCAAGTCGGCGCAAAACACGTACGCGATGCTCACGACGTTCAACGAGATTAACATGTCCAACCTGATGGCGATGCGCGCCGAGTACAAGGACGCGTTCACCGAGACGCACGGCGTGAAGCTCGGGTTCATGTCGTGCTTCATCAAGGCGGCGTCGAAGGCGCTGCGGCAGACCCCCGCGGTGAACGCCATCATCGACGGCGACGAGATCGTGTACCGGAATTATTACGACGTCTCGATCGCGGTGAGCGCGCCGAAGGGTCTCGTCGTGCCGGTGCTTCGCGACGTCGACGCGATGTCGTTCGCGGACGTCGAGGCCCAGATCGCGGCGTACGGGAAGAAAGCGAGGGAAGGGACGCTATCGCTCGACGAGATGACCGGCGGGACGTTCACGATCAGCAACGGCGGCGTCTTTGGAAGCTTGAACGGCACGCCCATCATCAACCCGCCGCAGAGCGCCATCCTCGGGATGCACTCCATCGTGAAGCGGCCGATCTGCGTCGGGAACGAGATCGTCGCGCGGCCGATGATGAACGTCGCGTTGACGTACGACCACAGACTCGTGGACGGGCGAGAGGCGGTGACGTTCTTGAAGACGATCAAAGAGGCGGTCGAGGACCCGCGGCGGTTGCTCTTGGACTTGTGAGCGACGACGAGCGCGATCGTCGAGAGATCGCGACGGATCGAAGCGCGTTCGTTCGCCGCGCCGCGCGTGTATTGATAACCGATTAACCATCCCATCCCGTCCCCCCGCGTCTTTCCTTTCATTTCCTTCACTTCACCGATAACATCTCGACTCAGTCGTCCCTCTGCCCTTTCAATCGGTCCTTCCCCACGAACTGCCTGTACCCGAACCACTCGAGATCCCCCGGCCAAATCCCCTCGCCGTCGATCAAACTCTCGTCGAACGCGCAGTCCTGGTAGTACTGGTTCACGCCGCCGTACATGTGGTATAAGTTGGTGTACCCGGCCTGGTACAGCTCGAACGCGCCGGGGAGCGACCCCGCGCCCTTCGTGTCGTCCGTCAGCCCCCGGTTCTTGGGCGGCTCGCGCACGAGCGACCCGCCCCAGATGCACGCGAGGATTATCTTCGTCTTTTTATCCGGCACCGCCGCCTGACGACGACGGAGGTTGGACAGAGCGAGCGCGCGATGCGATGGGATTGGTCAGCGATGCGATATTGAATGATGTGGCAGCGTGTGGACCACACAGTAGGTAGGTCAAAACACGTGACAGACTACGTGGATGTGCTGTGTCGAAATGAATGAATGGGTATCCGCGCGAAGCCGCCGCCTGCCGCCGCGCACCTCCACCTGAGACACGAAGTCGACGTTCTTCTTCTTGAACCCCGGGAGCCGCATCTTCGCGAGGACGCCTCCGGTGACGTACGGCACGTGCACGCTCCCCGGGACGCTCCACTTCTCGTAGTCCGGCTCGAACCGCACGTCGAGGAGCACGGCGCCGCGGTTCATCATCTTCACCGCCTCTCTCGAGTCGATCGTCTGCATGCGCTTCTCGTCGTTGAGCCAGCTCCAGACCTCGGGCCACTTCGGCATGCCCTTGCCGACGCCCGGGACGATGCCGTTCGCGTCGGGGACGCCGACGGGGAAGGGCGCCTTGGCGCGCGTCGCGACCGACGCGCCGCGGCGCGAGGAGGAGGAGGAGGAGGAGGAGGAGGAGGGACGGCCGCGAAGACGAAGAAGATCGCGCGACGACGACGACGACGACGTCATCGCGGTCGATCGGAGCGACGCGGAGGAGGAGGAGGACGCGCGGGGAGCGCGGCGCGCGGACGACGACGCGACCGACGACGGCGTCGCGGACGCGGCGCCGAGGGCGAACGCGAAGGCGGACATCGCGGACGAGAGACGGACGCGCCTCGAGGAGTGCGCGCGGCGCGCGGACGATCGAAGAGGTGGTGAGCTGGCGTTTTCGCGTCGTCCGGCGCGGCGAGGCGAGGCCAGGGCGCGAGGCGGCCGTTCGCGCGGGCCGCGCGCAGTGGCTGCGTTTAGGATTTCGTCGCGGAGAGTCGCGGCCCCCGCGCCAGTCACCGAGGCGCTGTAGGACGCGCGCGCGCCGCTCCGTCAGCGCGGGATACTCTCGCGCGGCGCATCGAACGCGCTCGCGCGCGTCGACGGTCGCGGCATGCCGTCCAGGACGCGCCCCTCCGGCGAGTCGGCGAGTCGTCGTCGTTGATTGAAATCAGTCATCGTTTGAAAGCTGAGTAAGCAACAGCCATCACGACGAAGCGATCGATGACGACGCGCGGGACCCGCGACGACCCGGAGCTCCCGCGTCGTCGTCGTCGCGTCGCCGCGACGCTCCTCGCGGCGCTCCTAGTCGCGCTCCTCGCGCTCCCGTCGCCCGCGCTCGCGCAGTACCCCGCGGTCTCGACGTGGTCCCCGACGGACGTCGTCTCGCCGTCGCTCCCCACGACCACCGCGAACCCTCGCTTCGCGGCGGCGGTTGCGTCCTCGCACGGCCACCTCGCCGCGCTGCGCGACCGCGCGACCGCGGAGGTGCGTCCCCCGGGCGTCGGCGCGTCGCCGGTCCTCCTCGCCGCGGACCCCGCGGGCGTGGACGAGACGTCTACGGACGCCGCGAGCGCGGGCGCGCTCGCGACGTCGCGCGGCGTCGTCGTGATCGGGACGCCCGCGCGGAATGGCTTCACGGGCGGAGCCGCGGTGTGGACGTACGACGCGACGAACGCGGAGTACCCCACCGCCGCGATCCTCGCGTCGTCGGACGGGAAGCGCGGATGGATGGGCGCGAGCGTCGCGACGGACGGCGGCGACGTCATCGCGCTGGGCGCGCCGAGGGATTCCAACGACGCGGGCGCAGCGTACGTCTTCGCGCCGACGGATCGGATCGGTTGCGTCTCCTCGGCGGCCATCGCGGCGGACGCGGCGACGTATTCGCTGCCGATGAACGGCGTCGGGAGGTACGTTTACGTCACGAAGGGCGTCCCCGGTGTGGCGAATGGGGCGACGTCGACGGCGCAGACGCTCTCGCTGCCGGAGGTGGAGGCGCTGGACGCGAACGGCGCGAACCTCGCGCTCGGAAAACCCGTCGTCGCGTCGCACGCGCTCGCGACGGGGACGCCGTCGAACCTCGTCGACGGCGTCGCGTCGTCCACCGGGACGTGGGCGAGCGTCGCGAGCGTCGCGACCGGCGCGATGTGGTTCAGGATCGACCTCGGGGAGGAGAAGAGCGTCGCGAGCGTCAAGGTGCACAACCGCGTTGATTGCTGCGGCGCCGGCGCGATCGGCGCGCGCGTCGCGCTCGCCAAGACGGACGCGGACGTGGACGCGGGGAAGCGATGCCCGTCGAAGCCGTGGCGCGAGGTGGCGCGACTGCGTCCGCCGACGCAGACGCCCGGGGATCGCTACGGCGCCGTCGTCGCCGTGCACGGCGGCGCCGCGCCGGAGCAAGGGTGGCTCGCGATCGCGGCGCCGGGGGCGGAATCCGGCGCGGGGGTCGTCTACGCGTACTCTCGGTTCGTGAAGAACGGCTCGCCGACCGGGTGGACGCTCGCGCAGACGCTGCGGCCGTCCTCCGCGTCCGCGCCGCTCGGGTTCGGCGCGGGCGTCGCCATCACGGGGAGGTACCTCGCTATCCTCGCGACGCCGACGCTCGGGCAGACGGGGCACGGCGCCGGCGGACAGGGGGGACGCGTCGAGATGTTCATCCTCGCGAGAGGGGCGTCGACTAACTTCGCGACGACTTCGCCGTCGTACGGCGCGTCGCCGCCCGTCTCCGTCGACGCCAAGGAAGGGCGATGGCTCCTCGACGCGACGCTGACGCCCAGCGTGGGCGCGACGCAGACCGCGGCGGCGGGGCCGAGCAACGTCGCGCTGGGCGGAGAGACGCTGGCGGTGGCGTATCCCGGCGTCGCGAGCGACGGGACGGGCGGCGCCGCGCGCGTGTGGCGGCGGACGTACAAGACGACCGGGTCCTCGCTCGACCCGAAGTGGATCTTCCAGGGGAAGATAAACCCACCGAGCGCGAGCGTCGTCGGGTTCGGGCGGTCGGTCGCGAGGGACGAGGCGACGATCGCCGTCGGCGCCGCCGCGGCGATGTCGGGACCCGCGGGCGCGGGGGACCGCGGCGACGGGAAAGCGCATCGGTTCACCGGGCCGACGCCCGCGGCGTCGCCGCCGCCGCCGCAGCCGAGCCCGCCGCCCGCGGCGCCGCCCCCTCCCGCGGCGCCGAGCCCGCCGCCCGCGGCGCCGTCGCCTCCGCCGATGCCGAGCCCGCCGCCGCCGCCGCCGCCGCCGGGCGCGCCGCACCCGCCGAGCCCGCCGCCGCCGTCGCCGCCGCCGCCGCTCGTCGCGTCGCCGCCGCCGCCGCCGCCGCCGCCGAACGTCGACGCGCTGCTCGATTTCGACTTGAAGCTCGCGGGCGCGACGTTCACGGACGCGGGCGTGAGCGCGACGGAGGAGGCTGCGGTGATCGCCGCGGTCGCGGAGACGCTGAACGTTGACGTCTCGAGGGTGCGCGTCTCGGCAATCGAATACGACGCCACCGTGTCCGTGGGATTGACCGGGATCACGCAGGCGCAGTGGGACGCGAAGGCGGCCACCGCGGGGCGGATCATCGCGGACGCGTTCGCGGACTTGACGCGGCTGCCGAGGGCGGCGGTCGTCGCGGGGACGGGCGCGATGACGACGTCGCCCGACCCGGCGGGGCGGCGGCGAGCGTTGTTAACGTCGTCGTCGGCGGCGGCGGCGGCGGCGTCTCCCGTCGTCGACGCCGCTCCCGCGCCCGCGCGTTTCGCGGTCGGACGCCGCCCGGGATCGGCGCGCGCGGCGCACAGACGACTTCTCGCGCTGAGCACGCCCGCGGGGGTCGTCCTCCCGACGGCGCCGTCGCCGCCGCCGCCGCCGTCGCCGGACCCGCTCGCGCCGTCGCCGCCGCCGAGCCCGCCGCCGAGCCCGCCGCCGAACCCGTCGCCGCCGCCGCCGAGCCCGCCGCCGCCGCCGCCGGATCAGCCCTCCCTTCGCGTGCCGATCACGGCGACCATCGCGTCGTCGCAGCTCGCGGCGTTCAACGCGGCGACGACGGCGGCGTTGACGGGGTCCGGCGGGTCCGCGCCGCCGCTGTTGACCGACGTCGCGTCCGCGGCGTCCGCGGGGACCGTCCCGAGCGGCATCTCGGGCGTGATTCAGCCCGCGCCGCTCGCGATCGCGGCGACGTTCAAGGTCACGGTCAGCGCGGCCGACCCGTCGGGCGTGGACGCGCTGAAGACGACGGCGACGACGCGCCTCGGCGCCGCCGGGACGCTCGGGACGGCGTTGACGTCTCGATTGGGCGCGGCGGCGCCGAGGCGCGTCGTCGCCGTCGTCTTCAGCGCGTCCACGCCCGACGGGTCGGCCGCGCTGACCGTGACCTTGAACGTCGCCGCGATCGCGAGCGGCGCGGGCTGAATCACGCCCGAGATGCCGCTCGGGACGGTCCCCGCGGACGCCGCGGACGCGACGTCGGTCAACAGCGGCGGCGCGGACCCGCCGGACCCCGTCAACGCCGCCGTC